AGCGGCGGTGGCGGTGGCGGCGGCCGATGAAAAACAATAAGAAACGCATTGTTTATGCGGGTCCAACCTATTGTTTATGTGGGTCCTATTACAACGATGCCGCCGGAACTTCCCGCCCCTTCCCCCTCTACCGCGCCTTCCACCGCTCGCGCTCCCCCCGCACCTACGAGTTCCCCCCGCGCCCCGCGCTCCCCTCAGAGGACCTGGGTTAGAACCCGCCTAGTATATCTATTTTTGAAAAAAACGCAAATTTTTTTAAAACTTGACATTTTTCATTGGTGTCAAAGAATTATTCTTAAATGATGTGTTTATGTTGAATTATTCTACGAAATATCGTTTTTGTTTAACATTCATTAAATTAAATCGACTTTCAATTATTTTAATGCAAAGTTATCCATTCTAACATTTAATGCTTCGCTATTGCTATCCGAAATTGTGACGTTATAAGCGAGAAAATAAAGAATAAATGCAAGTTAAATTTAAATACTATCCAATATACCATAACAGATCCTTTTTTTATTCCTGTACTACATTGCACTAAAACTTTTTTTAATTTTTGCTTTCGCCAAATATCAAAGGTCATCTCATTTTAGATTGCTAAAGTGTACACTGATTCCCCACCACATAAATCACATTATTATACACATTATTATACAATACTTAAAATTATGTACATTTAACAGTCTGCAGCTCGATAAAAAATACATTTTAAAAAAATTTGATACTTTTACATAAAAGTATAGAGTTTTACTTATACAAAATGTTTCTTTTTATTTCCTCACAATTTTTCTTGATCACGTCTAATGTAAATGTATTAATAAATACACACGCACGCACGCACGCATGCACACACACACGCACACGCACACACACGACAAGCACACACACGCACACATATATCATACCCAAAAGAAACCTTACGACTAAATTTTTTCATAAATTTTTAATATTTTTCAATAGTAATAACTCAGTGAAAAATCATCGTAGCGAAATGTTTAAAAAAGCTTTTTAAAGCTTGAAATCTCTACTTTCCAAATCCGTACTTTAAAAAACACTGATCATACTGACATTATGTGAAGTTACATAAATAAAGATGCATAAATTCTCAAAATTTTTTATAAAATTTGCGAAGTTTCACGGCGCCAATTAAAAATTGCGCACAAATGGGATTTACAGCTTTCGAAAGAGTGAATCTTTATTTTTAATTATTTTTTTATAGACCTGTGTACAATTTTTTTTCACTGAGTTATTAAACGTTGAAGCAAAAAACGATCTTTTTCTTCAATGTTGAATAACTCGTCAAAAAAAAATCGTACAGAGGTCTATAAAAAAGCAAATTGAAGGTAAAAATTCACACTTTGATTTGCTGTTTCGCTCGACGAGTCCAGAACAGCTATTATGGAAATTTTACGATTCCGATCGGAAACTCGAGATTCCGACTGGTGAATTTCCGACCGCGATTTTGTTTTTGTTTTTACTATTATGGCTTTCGTGTGGAATGGGCTTTCTGCCTGTTTTTCCATATCCGGAATGAATCAAACGAGAGGAATGAGAAAATTTTGACGACTAATCACAATGTAAGTCTATAGGAAAAATCGATAGATTCAAAATGTCCGATACTTATACTGTGAAAACGTTACAGCACATAGCTGTGAATAGTGAATTGAAAGTTGAACATATTGAGATCCTAATAGCAATCCGCAAAAACAAGCGAGATTGAAACAAATTAATCTGGAGACACTGGTAATATCTCGGCGCTAAACTACGCGCAGCGACACTGCTGTGGCTACTTTAAGCGAGCCGGCGAGTTGCCAGGGATTGAGATTATTGGATCTCAATAAAGGCTGAATTGATCAGGTTCTAAGTGTGCTCAATCGATTGCATCTGGTCTAAATATATAATGAAAGTATTTTTTTTTCTACGTGCCCTACGAGCCGAGATATTGCGACGCAAAATCCAAATCTGAAATTTTTATATTAAGATTAAGAAACGTCGTCATTGCCGACTACGGAGTGAGATTTGTCCTTTTGGAATTTTTGGCGCAAGAGGCAAATGTGGCGCTGGCAATGTATGGTCACATCACACATGTCTGTTTTCTGTGACTGATGATGAACTAGTGTACACTTTTGGAATTAAAGTAAGTAATAAGTAGTTTAAGTTAAGAAATTCGTCACATCGATGGCATAGAGGGGCACATAAGTGATTTTCTGCTTCTGCAATTACACAAATTAGACTTACACGTTTTTGTAC